AAAATTCTAGTTTAATATTTTAGTGATAAACATCCCTGAGTTCTTGAAACATCTGCGAATTTTTAAAAAATTACACTTTGTCTTCCCCTCTAATTTCTCTTAGATGCGGTAATATTTGCAAGTCCATATTTAGAATTGATTGAGTGGGATACGCTAAAAAACCCTCAACTTTAGCAAGTAGAGAAGCTTAATGAAGTAATCTATCATTATTCCTAACATATTCATCCCTTTCCAACTTTTTTTAGCAGCTGACTATTGTTTTCTATATAAAATGTGAATTCTTCATTCCTCACCTTTCAGGCCTCCCACAACTGAGCTCCCACTTTTCTTGTCTCTGTAATCTTCATTCGTTTTCCCTTTACGGTTGTACCTACGTTGTCCATCTAACACTTTCCCCTTATTTATTTTGCTTTTATCTTATTCCAAATTTACTCCACCATCCAACTTACTTCACTTGTTGCTCCTCTCTTTTGAAGTACATACCTTGCTACTGAGCAGCATCTACCCTACTTTATACCTGCCAAATTTGGAAAGCAAAAAGTAGGATGTTAAGCAGTTATAGGCAAGCCTGATTCCAGCAGATGTCAGGGGAAAAACTCCAGCTTTGCACCTTTACTTCTGACAAAAGAAAAAAAGTCCCTGCCGAGTTCCAAATTCAAGATCTCACAGATTACACTTCTCTCATGGCCTATAGTATCCTCCTTCTCTGAGGACTATCCTGTCAAGTCTACTATCAAAAAAGTCTGTAGAAAAACTCAGAAAGAAGTAGAACAGTAGGTTACTCCTAAAACATAAATCTTCAGGATTTTAACGTTTTTAGGGATTCCTCTGAGCTGCACTCAGAGGAGTAATCAAAATCTCATTAACTGCTGTCCTGTTTCCTTGTCCTCTCCTATCCAGGCTGTACCTTGGACTACTTCTTGCAAGATATCCAATGGCGAGGTCCTTTAATTACTGAATCTTAAAACATTGCATAGAGCAATATATCTATGGTTATGTATGTATATACTGTGAATACATACATTTATCTACAAAATTAATTTAAGGAAAAGGCTTTTTTCTTTTTTTTAAACACACAAATCCCCATGTATCTCGACTTTTTCACTCTGGAATTAAATCACTCGGGAATTTTGCACTTGAAACCTTTGCATTTTGGCTCACGTGAGGAACAGTACGCAGAGGATGAAAAAAAAGTCTTAGGCTTAAACCAAACAAAGCAATTAATAGGCCTATTTGCTTGCCTAATTTAAGCATCTGCTTAATTTTCTGAACTGTATGCCATACAAGAGTTTGAGTAAAAATTCTGATGGGTCCCAGATTCACAGCTTAGCGGCAGTAAACCATCTCAGTAACTGAAAGTGAATAGTTAGGCTTAATTTTTAAACACAGTAACTCATGCAATCCAGATAAAATAGAACTGTAGAAAAGCACATTTCTTTTTCCCTTGCCTGTAATGTCTTGAAGATCAGATTTGTGTCAAAAGTTTTGTCAAGACTAGAAAATTATTTCAGAAGATCTTGAGCAGGATGGGCACAGTGTTCAGACACATGTGAAGAAAGCTTAGGATTTTAGTCACAATTAATTGGAAATGCTCTTTTGGTCTTGGTTCACAGAAGAGAACTGGTATTAAGTATGTCCCTGCTAGTTTTTAATAAGAAATTTCAGAGACACTTGAGCACAAAATTCCATAAAGGAGATGAGATAAACGTAAGGAAAGACAGGATTAGTTCTCCTTAATGCCAGTAAACAATTAAGCAAAACCAATACCTGACACACCAGACCTGGAAAAAAAATCCCCCCTTGCATTCCCTAGTACATGATGCTAGAAACAGAAAACTCTGTGAGGTAATTTTTCAACTATAAGGCTTTCTTAATGTAAAAGAAAAACAATGGAAAACCTTAATGAAAAGAAGTTAAGAAATAAAGCAGATCAGGGAAAATACGAACAAAAGTATAAGCAAGTAAAGCCCTGAGGCAGGCAGTGATGCCAGAGTGCATATCCAGTTGCGTTTTCAAGACAGTTTTGCTTTTTTCCCCCTTTCAATTACAGCCAAATCTCAATTACTTATGATCTGCAATCCAGATGAATGAATATTGTGAGGTACCTGTGCTATGGATGCCGAGACACACAAAAAATACCTTCCTGTGAGCTACCATCTGGAATCACAGAAGTGCATACTAAGTGCCACAAAGGCTGAGATTGACATTACACCCTGCGTCTCTAAACTCTACTGTCAACTACAGCACTTTCTCAGCCCAGCATATGAAGATGTGATGAAAGCCCAGCTTAAAGTTTTTACTCTTTCTTTTTTTTACTCTTTTTTTTTTTTTATTTTAAGCATGCATTCTGACTAATCATTTTCAAAATTAACTTTAAAAAATTAAGTCTTTATCAAATCTAAAGTGTATAATTTCAAAAGCTATCATGACTTAAAAACTTTTCCAGGCCTTAACAAGGGTAGCACTTGTGGTACATTGCTCTACTGTGCTCTGTGGATTAAACAACGATCACAGTGAACCCCCGGGGTTCAGCGTTCAGCCTGTGTTTTGTGAGTAAAACGTACAAGAGTATGCTCTAATGGCAAGGCAAATGACAGAGCCAGAATAAGCGTTGCCCTTCTTACTGCAAGTGTGTGCTGCCAGACAACTGCTGATCTCATACAAAGCGATTGTATACATCAGAATGTTGGTCTTACATCGAAGTTTGAAAAGTATTTATGCTGTGCATTGAGGAAAATTGCTTTTCTGATTTATGGCTAGTTCTAACAACAATTGTACCATAAGTGTCTCAGGTAGTTTCACATTTTTCTAAACATCTGAAATGTGTAATAGAAAAGAATATTTAAGTTGCTATTCATAGTCAACACACCACTCAGTGGCACATGGCCTGTTAAGTGACACACATTTGGCATAAAATGTTTATTTTACTCATTTATGTGAGCTGTTTCCACTATGATTGAGGCAGGAATAGGAAAGCCTGCTTTAGAACAAGATCCTCTAACTCAGCTGTGCTTGCCTGAGATGATGTGACGAGTACTAATGCCAAGCATTCTGTTTATACCTTTTATCTCTCTGTAACACAGGACATTTTCAAATCTTCATGCGTATATATACACACATATATAGATAATGGGTATCAAATGGTAGCAGATATTTGTGAGCACTAGTACTGAAAAAAGTCAGACAACAAGAGACAGAAAATTGCACATGAACTTGCAACAAGCTATATTAGAAGAAAAAAAATTATTTTTGGCGTTCACATAAATTTACATCCTGATATAAAGCAGTGATACGCCCCCTATTCCTCCTCTGGTGATCAGGCTACCACACAGAGTTCTGGCATCCCAGCATCAGATAGAAACTGATTATGGAAAATTCAAAGACAAAAAGTACAAATCTTAAGGGGCAAAAGGTGAAGATTTAAACAAACAAAAAATAATATTCCCAACCATATTGGAAAGTAATTATCAAAAGGTTTCAACAATAAAAAGGGAATTGCTTAATATAACCAAAGAGTTATAAAGAGAAGTATTGATATGAAAATGAGTAGCAAAGAATTAAAAGATACTACCATGAGGAAATTTAATATTCAGGAAGCCGAGATTTTAGAAAAAAGTAGCCTAGACAACACAGTTTTCAATACACTGATATGTCCAATCTTGTTGAGCTAATAAATATTACCTTCTATTTACTTTTTATTTTTTAGTTGAAATTTAATCTACAAGGCTCAAACTAGGAATCAGTGGCTAGAAACAGATGCTTAAAACTTACGGTACAGCGTATGACATAACTAAAAATCAACTGAATTAACTATCACTTCTAAAGTCTACTTTTTTTTTACTAGCTAGCTAATGAGTAGAAATTTTTATGCAGACAGATCATGAAAAGGAACTGAGACTGATTTTAAGTACAGTTCCCTTTTGATATAATTTAAAATTACTCCTACTAGAATATATTTAAGTATAATGAGATTATGATGGATACCTTACACAGCAGGTGTCTGAATACAGAAACCAAAGAGGCCATTTCCACTCTCATGTAAGACACTTACAGCAATATCTGACACTGATGTTGCATTATTCTTGTTCGGTTTCAGTTCAGAGTTGTCACCTTTCATTTACAAAAATTTGCTGTGTTATTCCACCTTTTTTTCCTTAAAATTCTCTGATAAATGTGAAAGGGACTGTATGACTTGCACGATCACCGCCTACTCCATATTCTTTCTGACAGACAGACATTCCTGGGACTACAGCAGACCATATTCTTACAGTTTCAACTTTTCGTGCCAGTGGAAGATGGTCAGGTGGCCCCAAAATTATTTCAAACAACACTGTAGTTGGTAAAATATGGACGGAGTGTATTACCATTTCTTTGCCCTCTATCTGTTCAGGAAGCAGTGGGAACATGTCATATACACACCCATAAAGCAAAGAACTTGCAAATACACAATGGACAAATTTAACTTTCTTTTAAATAACAGAAAGGAAAGGAAAACAAACCTCTGTAATACCCTATGCAGTATTGCAGCTCTCCTTGTCTTTTCTTAGGGAACAGAAAAGTTCTTAAACAGGTATCATATAATACAACGAATTCTTATCCTTAACAAACAATAAATTACTTGCACTCATGCCAAATCAGTTGAGTGAAGGCTGAAAAACAAAGACTGAAGTGCAACATCAAATTTATATTCCATAAAAAGATTGAAATGCTAAGTACTATACCTTTGTGCAACAAAGGTTTTGGATGGGGGCAGGTGGGGAGAAACACATTAAAAGAGTACACAGGCTGTTACTCCATATGTGTTTGCAGGACTATAATAAATGTTTTTAATCTATGAAACATCTGGGACTAAAAATCCAATTTGTATCTTTTTTTTTTTTAAAGATGGAATAGTTTTAAAGTGTATAGCGTAGCTTCTACAATATAAATCTGCACAAAACTAACGGCACAGGTCTGTCCTTTAGGCTTTTTCTAGGAGTATAAAATATGCAGAATCCTACCAGGCCATATTGCCATGGGCTGTGTTGTCAAGGTGACAGAGTAGCTCCAGGGTTTGAGTGTTGCTTGATGAATCATCAGGGGATTCATGACTGCCTGATTCCAATTCCTTCGGCATCCTCCAAACAGCAGCACATGTCATGACTTTACTGTCTGAAGCTAAGCAACAGAGAATAATGTCAACAGATCATTGTATGGGAGACATATTTTGTATACAGTGCATCAACATTTACACAAATCTATAAGCAATGCACATCTGCTGTTTAAAATATTTAAAAATATTACACCAAGATGAACGCAAAGAATGCAGAATGGGGATACAGACACAGACCTCAAGTTAGCAGTCAAGTTGCTGCAAAATTCGTAATTAGCACGCATTTAGTGCGCTTCTCCCTGTTTAATGGCAAAATTCCATGCTCATGAAAACCTGACTCTTTGGGAGGCAAAGTTTTCCAAGCTTCATTCCCCATACTGATGTTAATGAAAATGACCCGTGAGACACATTGCTTGATTCCTTAACAATAAGGATTTAGACACTGTTTTAATATTTTCCTTTTAAGGACTATCTTCAGTTGAATCTATAGTATTATGTCGTATCCTTTACTACCAATAACTGTTTATTGCAAAATTAAGTTTTCCATGTGAGTACACTCCTTTAATTCTAGCAAATAAAAACAGCTTCCAAAAGATAAACTGAACTTAGATGCATATAGCAAAAATATTACAATGCATAATGAACAAGCCAACTGTAGATTGAGGAGAAAATACCATATGGTCTATGTACATATGCATTGCCCATCACCCATCACGCAATATAGCAATTTTAAGCAGTGCAAAATGGGAGGAGACCAGAGCAGCTTTGCATATGTTCATGTTGTTCCAACCGCTGGTCCAGGGTTCACAGAAGACAAGAAAGTCAGTGTGATCCACTACAGCAGGAACAAAGAAACCAGCCACGGCAATGGCAGGCGAAAGCAGGGGGAGCGACTACCTGCTGGAGGATGTGTTAAATGAGAAGTCCAGAGGATAAGCAGCCATGAACGACATGTTTTCCGTTCTGAGGTCATTTTGCATGCCCCTTTCTCACAGTTCTGTCTCCAAGTACGTTTTAGCTGATTTTAGTGTGGAATGCCTGATTACAGAGCCCTGAGCAGATGTGACCAACTTACATCAGTGAAAAGGAAAACAGGAACAATTGTAATGAGAGTGATTTCAAGAGGAAGGATGCTAACTCTGAAAAAGGCCTTCTTATGCTAAAATAACATTAACGGAGTGGGGGAAGCCTATTATAAAGGTTGCCAGTCTGGATATTCTGTATGCAAAAAAGGCACCCAGACAACAGAGAATAGGACAAAAAGCAATTGATACATAATAATACACAGTAAATAAGCCCAAAATGCAAGAATGCAGACGTGTTTAAAAAGTAGCCATATGAAATAAAAAACATAGGTAGTTAGGTCAAACCAATAAAAGAAAAAGGCTATTTCTGTGAGAAGGACACAGGGGTAGGAGGAGGACTTTAAATTCAAGCACAGAATTCAGAACACATAGGTACTGGATATTTGATAAATTGCACTAAATATAAAATATATGTATGATGCACATAACTGTTCTACAGAAATTTGGCATACACAAGTTGAATACAGTATCAGAAGACCATACATACATACATAAAGATGACGGATAATCTCTTATTTATTAACACTTAATTGAACTTTTACTAATTGTAGTGCATGCTAACTAAACAGCTCTTTCCCAATCATTTGAGGCAAATCCTTTACTCTAAATCCACGTGCCACTGAACGAAGAGGAGGAAGCAGCAGCAGAAGGCTACCTTTCTTTAGCAAAGGGCAAATCAACGCACGGCATGCATTGTACACCATACAAATAATAAATAACCTAAACTGAAAGTGCAATATAGTTCAAGAAGGTGAGATGTATCAAATGTTTTGCCTTGATACTCAATATGTGACAGAACATTAAAGAACACCACAGAGAAGTTTCTGGTGGATTATAATTACTGAAAGGTCTGTAGCATGCATATAAAGCATTAGCTTTTCCACTATCATCAAGATCTATGCAGAGAACCACAAAAGCAAATCATGGACAACAAACTACACATTTCTCAAACCATCTTTCCTCTCAGTACAGCACCACAAGTCTTAAGATAGCCTTGAAATGCCATTTTAACTTCTCTAAAACTGGAACATTTTGAAATTCTGATAGTGTATTCCTATAAGTAACTTTTTAAAAAAGTTTTGGATTCTTGCACAATCAGATTTCCAGATTGGAAACCTTAAAACACCTAAACAAGCACTGGTGTGAAGACTGAAGGAGGCTGAAGAAAATATGCATATAGATATATATACACACATACACATATATGTACACACACACACACACACATATATATAAATTACCCTGAAACTTGACACGACCCAGGCTTCTATAACACTTCGATGTTTTGAAAATTGTCAAAAGCCACCAATGAAATGAATCTGCTTGAATTTTTAATGTGTGCGGCAATTCTACATAGATTTTATATTTGTTTTCAAATTATTGCTACAGGTGCTGCTAAGGGGCAAGACTGAAATGTACCTTGATACTCCAGGCAGAAGAGATTTGCCAGAGTAGTGAAAACAAGTTAATCAGATTTCCACATTCTACAGACCTATCTATGCCATTCCTTGGAGCCCAGCATATAGTATCCTCTCTGGAAAGCTGTTCAGCTGCTCTGATGATATGATATGTATCAGATGCCATTTGTTCTTCCAGAATGCAAGAGAAGCTTATCTTTTTGAAATGTAATTCGACCACAGTAGATTTTTGTATTAATGGCTGTTATTATATAGTATGTTAGGCAATTATTTTTTTAATATTAAATTTTTATCATTAAAAAAATTGCTCTAAGTCTTGCATATTAGGACATATCTTTAAAATACAATTCTAAAATTAAGGATACCTATCAAACTTAGCAGGGATCTCAACAGCACAGTACTCATTCATTCTTTCTCAAATAGTGGAATTAGTTGTTATTTTCTTCTGTCCATGTTTAAAGAAATAGAAATAATAAAAAAATCTATCTATTTTTAATTAACATTAAGAAAGGCTCAGTAAGGTACCTGTCACTCCTTTTCACTATAAATAAAAAAATTTTACTTCCTTCTCAGGACTATATTAATTACATTTTGGTATTTACTAGAAGTTTCTTCTCACATTACTGTCGTACATATCTAAAAAGCTTATTACCTCCGCTTCCTCTTATAACTTAGATATTCCTGTAAACAACTGGTAACAGTAAGTGTCTGAAGTGCAGGTTGGCCCAGAATTTCACGTGCAGAATTCTGTGCCCTTCCATGCCTGTTTCACTTCATCGAGACTAGTGGCAAAGGATAAAACCCACTGTGCGTCAGAAAGGGACAACACTCAAAGCCAACACACACAAAACCCCTGAACACTCAGCACAGACATTACCCTCTGCTTTCACCTAGGTTTGAAGACGCTTACGGAAAATGACAGATTTCTTTCTAGCTGTTGAATGACCATACATCATGAACAACTGTATGTGCATCGCAAATCTTCAGATTCTAATTTTAAACTCTGGACGAATTCTGGAATTAGACACATGGCTGAAATTTGTAGAGCAGAGACTTGATTCAGAGCGCTATTAATTTCTCCTTGTACTTTTTATGTGCTTATCTACAGTTCTGACACTTTATTAATTCCCAGATGTATGAAACCAAAATGGAATTGCCATGGCCTCCCATAGAAGTAATTTTAGATATGGCTGGCCTTAAGCAAGGCTTAATTTCCCTTTATATAAGGAACTTTTTAAAAGGTACCATTTTCTCCCTGGTAAAAGAGAGGGCAAATGCTAGTGCTGAGTGAAAGTGTCACTCTGTTATGACAGATGAAGTGGAGCTCTTTTGTGGGTCACAATTCCTCTTAATCAAATAACCACTAGCAACAAAGTTACACAAACCCACAGACACAAGATAACTCTCACTGCGTAGAAATCCAAGTCCCACAACAAGCTTCTCATGGCTGCATGACAAGCTCACTAGCAGTACACAGTATTTGTGGAATTACCCATATAGCCTTATTTCCCAAGTGATCATATTAAAATTTAAAAACCCAGTATTACTAAGTAATTTCACTACCACCTCTGTAGTGCCATTGCTTACCTAGAATACCTACAGGCAAAGAGGAACTCCACATTTTCCCTTCTTTCACTATCTTCACATCACCCTACTGCATGTATACATACAAAATGACAGTGTTTTTACCTACCACCTCTTGTATTATTTCTTAAAAACATTAAAACCAATATGAATGTAATATTTAAATGACAATGCCAGTTATTCTGTAAAAGAAAGAAAAACAAGCAAAACACACAGTGTCTATTTAAGTCATGCTTCTACACCTTCCTTAAAAGATATTTACACAGTTGGAAACCACTTTTCCATCCCTACCTTATATTGAAACCACAATTTTTATTTATGTCACAGCACCAACGCAGAAGAGGATAGCTAAGGTTAAGCTAGTTTCTGTTACAGTCTTATCACTAAGTATATTAACAAAAATGTTAGTGGGTTTAACTAAGCACTATTGAACCCGTCTTGTGAATCTGGAAGTTACACTTTCATAGAGAACAAGTGAAAGGTTTGCAGAACCGAGTCCCACTGTATTCCTAAAGCATTGTTCACATAAAATGATCCAGGAATAAGATAATGAACTGTTTAATCTTTGTCACATTTGTTCTTCCTCATTCAAGAGAAATCCCTTGTTTAATTCATCGTGCATCTTCAGTACACCGCTTGCTAGGTATAGCTAAGGATGGAGCTAGATGTACTGTTCCAACTGCAACAACCCCCTGTTAAGCACTGTTTCCCCAAGTTCATCAATACTATCTCCTGGGCAGAGGATACCACCTGCTAGAGTGACTGTACACAGTTTCATCTACCTGGTGCTGTTGAAATGATCCAGGCTTAGAAACAAGCAAACCAGAATTCAAGGAATAAGCAAATAATCTCACATTTTGACAGCAGTGAGTTAGGAAGCGACTACACATGGTGCTGGCAGCAATGAGGGTGCAGTAACCAACTGCAGGAAACAAACTTTGGCAAGTTCAGCCAAACCCTAAGAGAGATAACCACGGC